TGATGATTTGTAAATTGCTTATGCCATGCTTCTAGTTCTAGTTCTGGTAGCACTTATGGAATAACTGAAGATGAATGGACAATTATATGTAATTTAAATGAAATGTTACAAGTTTTTTATGATGCTACCATGTTATTATCTGGCTGTTATTATCCAACCATTACTTTAGCTGCTTTACAAATTTTAAATATTCAAAAATTTTTTGGGAAATATCTTATGGATGATACTTTTGGACCTATGATTTTTTAAATGGAGAGCAAATTTAATAAGTACTTTAGGCTTATTCCTCATATTTTTGGTTTGGGGGTTCTTATTGATCCATGCTTGAAGGATATTGGCCTTCGAAGTTTGTTACAATCCTTGTATGGTAATCAGATTATAGACTTAGATGATGGAACTACCCTTACTGCTACTACTCATTATTTAGCTATTAGAAATTATTTTCAAACCTTATATGACGAGTATGCAGCTAGACATGGTGTAGCTACACAACAGTCTACAGCTTCGGTTTCTTCAAGCTCATCCCGAGGTAAAAGTGTAAGTTTTGATAGGGATGCAATAATAGCTGAGCTAACTGGTGGATCTGGACTTGGATCGTCATCATTGGAGGATTCTAAAATAGATGAATATTTATCTGCTTCTTGTTGACCCTATAGTTTTGATGATGATTTGACAAACAATTTATTACTAATTAGTTTTTCCAGTGTTTTGTGTTTATGTTCTCTTTTCAGGTATTTCAACACAGCGTTAAAGATTCAAGTTCATCTGCGTGGATTTACCTAGGTATTTGTTTAGTTTACTTATATCTAAGCTCAATATATATATACACTTAACACGATTTTTTGACGTTTTATATCATATAGATGATTTTTCTTAAAACATTGTTAAAATATCTTTATCTCTTGTTTACAGCTCTCTCACGCTTTGCTATATACATATAATTTATGCACAATACATATATGAATATTTACAAGTCCTATTTCCAATTTCACTTTCATAAAAATACAGGTTTTCTAAGCATTTTTCAAAAACAGGTAGTTTTCACAAACGAAATTTGTTTTTCCAAAAATTCCTTTTCAAACATGTTCATTTCATCATTTATAAACTTTCCCCAAAGTTTCATTATTTTTGGATATGAATTGATATTTTTAACGAATTTCCAAAAACTGCCCAAAACCTGTTTTCTGCCCATGTCAGATTTCGGTCGACCGATACGGTCGACCGACGGCTGTCTGGTTTCTGAGAAACTTTCTAATGTTTTTCCGGTCGACCGGAATTTACGTCGGTCAACCGAAATTTCCATTCGGTCGACCGAAATTTCCATCGGTCGACCGCCAGCTTCAAAACATGTTTTCTCACGTTTTTTGAACTAATCGGTCGACCGTACCGGTCGACCGACGAGCTGACAAATGAGCCTAACGGCTAGTTTTTCAAAATGGACTTTTTGGTCTTTACTTATTTCTAGCTGTTGTATTGGGGTGCTATATATACTCCATTGCTGCTCTTCTTCTCTAAGATCCAAGAAATTCAAGTTTTTTGTTTAACAAGTTATTAATCGCGTTTAAGAGCTGTTTAAGAGTTGTTTCGTTAATCTGTTTTCAAGAGAAAGTTTTCTACAACAAGAAGAGGCTCTCATATTCCATTGGGATCATATTCTTCAGCTCCTCTTGTTCATTGAGAAGTTTTCCTAAACTCTTTCCATATAGCTTATTATTTCACTTTCATTTGATTAGCTATATTCATTTAAGTTATTTATTGAATTTGATTCACTATTATCACACACACTTATTGAGCTTGATATTTCCATATTATATATTGTGGGATTGTGGGGTGTGATTTAGTGAGTGTGAGCTTCATTGTGTTCTCACTTGTTAATTGAGAACAAATTAATGTATTTAACTTTTATTTGTGAGAATCACTTGTAATACACTTGTACACCGAGAGAAGTGTGAGAAGAGAGAGACGGGGTCAAATCCAATAGGAGTGGCGTCGATTGACGAACCTAGGGAGAGGTTGTAATCGAGCACTTGAGGAGGAGGACACGGGCTAGATTCCTACACTTAGTGTGTAAAGTGTGTTTGTTGAGTGATTGTGTAGTGTGAGAGTTTTCGGTGAACTTGTAAACCGAGTGTGTAGAAGTTCCGGCTTCCAAACCGGATTGTGATAGTGGATATCTCCTCGAGGTGAGGAGCGGGGACGTAGGTCGTGGGGACCGAACCTCGTGAACATATCGTGTGTCTGTGCTTTGATTGTCTCATATTTTATTTGTGCATTTCCTTATTGTTCTTATTGTTCATATCCATCGCCTGCAAGAACATATTGATCAACTTAATTTTAATCACTATTAATTGGGATTAGATTAGCATAAGACCCTAATCACCCCCCTCTAGGGTCTAACACTTCTTTAGTTAAATGTCAAGGAAATGCTTTAGATATTTTGCAATGGTGGAAAGTATATAGATCAGTTTCATATCCTATACTTTCCACCATGGTTCGTGACTTACTAACAGTGTAGGTTTCAACGGTAGCTTCGGAATCCACCTTCAGCCTAACAGGACGTTTGATCGACGACCACAGAACATGCTTAGATCCGTATACTGTACAAGCGGTGATGTGCTTACAAGATTGGTGAAGGTACGAGAAGCGAACGCAAGGTATCGATCGGATGGCTGTAATTAAAGATAAATTTGAAGAATTGGGACTAGCAGATAGATGTAAAGAATAAATTGTAATTTTTATATCTTAGCTTAAAATTTGTAAAGAATTATTTTGGAAATAGTTACAAATGATAGTGATATAGGTGAGTAGGTGCCAACCTAGTTGGGATGTACTTATCTATTGTGATGCGATGAATTCCAAAATAAATTTATACTTGTAATTTGTAAATGATTTATTAATTATTAATAAAGAAATTTTTTATCATTTTTATTTGTAATTTATGTCATTTTAAGTGATTAATAAAATTATTGTTTTTTATTAATTTTTCTCCCGGACCCGGCCCGGGGTACCCGGGTCCGGGTCCGGGTCCGAGCTCCGGTTTTGCCCGGCCCAGGCCCGGATTTCCGGGCCGGCCCGGCCCGGGCCGGATGAACATGCCTAGTCGTAGTTGACACGGTGTACAACCTTATCACTAATGAAAAGTAAGCAAAGCCTCTGTGTGAGAAGCTCAAATTATTATTTGCTAAGAAGACCGACAACAACAACTTATTTCTTATGAAGAAAATTATGGATTTGAGGAATGGAGCAGGAATTTCTATATTGTATCACTTGAATAATTTTTAATGAATTGTGGAAGGCCTATGGTGTTCTCTGTGCAATATTTTAAGACATGAAACTAAAAAATGTAGGAGGAAGAAAAATATGAATAAGAAATGGATACCAGTTAATAATCAACCAGCGAAAGATGCTCCAATAAATCAGTCAAATATACAACAACAAGATCTTGTAAATAAAGAGGGGCCTACTGAATCTGTGGGTTCTGAAAAAAATGAAGCTGAAATGGTTGGAAATGATACTGGAGATACACCAATTGTTAAGAAACAAATTTATGAGAGAAGAGATAATGCTTTGGGTGTTAGTCCTAGAATGTCAGGACTGGGGGCAGAAAATGCCAGAATATCTGATAATCTGCATGTTTCTGGAAAGCATGCACAGAACGTGCACATGCACATTTTAGGGGCTTCCAAGCCACAGCCAAGTGTTAACACCACTGGTTTTACAAGTGCTACTAGAGCTATTGTAGCTAGAAGGGTTTTTGTGAATGATCCTGGTCCCTCAATTCAAGCCTCACATTTTTTCTATTTTGGATCATCCAACAGTTGAATTGGATCCCTCTAGTATTGATAGGGGGAGTTTTTTCAGTAATGCACCTGGCAATCTGGAATATTAGAGGATTTAACAAATCCTCTAAACACATGGTAGTTAAGCAATTAATACATGAATACAAGCTCTCTTTTCTAGCCCTCTTGGAAACAAAGGTTGTTGAAGGAAAAATGCAAACTATTGCTAAGAAAATTACAAAAACTTGGGAATGGATTTCAAATGTGCATGATGCTAACAATGGAAGAATATGGATTCTATGGGATAATTATATTCTCTCTATTCAGTGCCTTAATTCATCAAAGCAGTACATAACCTGTATAATGCAATCAAAGGATAGCAGATTATCATGTTTAATCACAATTGTGTATGCCCTTAATCATCAGGAAGATAGGAAGTTGCTATGGGAATACCTCCTGGCATTCAAAGGTAATGTAAATGGACCTTGGCTAATTGGAGGTGATTTAAATGCTATAGTTGACAGTTAGGATGAAATTGGTGGTGCACCAGTTACAAATGCTGAAACTGAGGACTTTCAAAATTTCATTAACACAAGTCAATTAGTCCACATGAAGTCTACAGGTTGTTTTTTTCACCTGGAATAACAAGTAAGAGGCAGATGCAAGAATTTGGTGCAGACTTGATAGGGTACTTGTTAATGAAGACTGGATTCAACTCTATAATTCCAGTCAAGTGAAGTTTCTTATGCCTTTATGCTCTGATCATTCTCCAGCTTTATTAACAATGGAAGACGAAAATTTTGAGGGAAAGAAACCATTCAAGTTCTTTAGTATGTGGGCTGATCACCCTGATTTCTTTTTAGTGGTTAAATCAATATGGGATCAAAGAGTAAATGGATATAACATGTACAGGTTTCATTCTAAACTCAAAAAGCTTAAACCAGGTCTTAAGGAATTAAATAAAAAACATTTTATGAATATAAGTGAGCAAGTTTCAAGAGCTAAGGTAGAATTGAGTAACATTCAAAATTAGCTGAATAACAATCTCTTTGATTCTGAACTAATTTCTAAGGTGAAAGAATGTGCGAAAAAATACACAAAGCTTTTGGATTGTGAAATCTCCTTCTATAGACAAAAGGCCAATATAAGTTGGGGATTACATGGTGATGAAGGCACTCAATTTTTCCACTCTATTATGAAGAGAGACACCAAAATAGGATAATGTCTATCTATACCGAGGATGGATCCAGGATATCTGACATGCCAGGGATTATACATGTATTTACTGATTACTATAAAAAACTCCTTGGTGCTACTAGATCTACTGCTCCTCCAGACCCAGCTGTGATTTCTAATGGTCCAATTATCACTCCTAACCAGTCTAATGAATTGAGTTGTCATGTTACTAGAGAAGAGATCAAACAAGCTGTTTTCTCTATGGCTGAGGGCAAAGCTCCTGGACCTGATGGCTTCAGCATTATTTTCTTTAAGAAGGCTTGGCACATTATCAGTGAAGATCTTTTCCTAGCAATTGAAGAGTTCTTTTGCTCTGGTAAGCTCTTGGGAACCTTTAATTCCACTTCAATCACTCTCGTACCTAAAATTCTTAATCCAAGTATTCCATCAGATTTTAGACCCATTTCATGCTGTAATGTAGTCTATAAAATCATCACAAAAATTATAGCAAGCAGAATTCAGAGGGTTCTGGGTCACTTGATTAATGATGCACAAAGCGCTTTTGTTAAAGGGAGACTCATTTCTAGCAACATTTTGATGGCTCATGAACTGGCTAAGCATTATGGAAGGAAAAACAATTCTCCAAGAGCTATTCTACATATAGATTTGAGGAAGGCTTTTGATACTATAAACTGGGACTTTATCAGGGTTGTTAACTGGTTTGGGCTTTCCACATAATATGATAGGATGGATTATGGAGTGCATTACAACTCCTAAATTTTCCCTATCTCTCAATGGAGCTTTACATGGTTATTTTCATAGTGCTAGAGGATTAAGACAAGGAGATCCCCTATGCCCCTACCTGATTGTGATTGGCATGGAGTATCTATCAAGAAAGTTAAACTTTTTAAAGGAGGATATATTATATAAATTTCATCCCAAATGCTCTAGGTTGAACATAACCCACCTAATTTTTGCCGATGACCTACTATTGTTTAGCAAAGCTGATATGGATTCAATTTCAAGATTGAATAGATGTCTACAAGATTTTAGTCAAGTTTCTGGTTTGGAAGCAAACCCCAACAAATGCTCAATATTTTTGAGTGGAGTTAATGATAGTCTAAGAGAACAGATATGCAACTATCTTAATTTTTCTATGGGGGAGTTGCCAATTCGCTATCTGGGCATGCCGCTGATTGCAAAAAGGCTTACTTACTTGGATTGCTCTCCTCTAATCAGCAAAATTTCTGGACGATTTCAATTCTGGCAACAAAGGAGGAGTTTATCATATGCTGGAAGAATTCAGTTGATAAAATAAGTCATTCTAGGCATTCAAGCATTTTGGACAAGTAACTACATTCTTCCAATCAAAGTATTAGAAAAAATTGACAGAATACGCTCAGATTTCTTATGGGGAAAAAAATCCTTCTTGTTTCATGTAGCATTGTTTGCCAGAGCAAGAAGAAAGGAGGACTGAGAATTTTTTAGCTAAAGATTGGACTTATGTGGCTGCTGTTAAGATACTATGGCTAATTCATCTCACGAAAGACCTTCTTTGGATCAAATGACTTCACGAGAATTATTTACAAGCTTCAGATATATGGAAAGTTCAACCTAAAGTGAGCGAGTCATGGATGTGGAAACAACTTCTCAGGGTAAGGGATTTGATGCTGGTCAGGTTGGGAATGTTGCAAATTTGCAGAATACTGTTGGTGCATGCTGCACAAGTGGAAAACTTCAACTTTCATTTGTATATAATGCTCTCTCTCAATCAATTTATCCTGTTCCTTGGTTTGACACTGTTTGGAGGGGTTTACACTATCCTAAACACTCAGTTATTCTTTGGCTAGCTGCTCACTCCAGGTTGTTAACCCAAGACAGACTTTGTCGGATGGGGATGTTGGAGTTGAATAGGTGTGTTCTGTGTCAAAGCCAGCAACTGGAAACTTGTAAGCACTTGTTCTTTGAGTGTCAATTTTCAGCTGATATTTGGAATAAAGTTATGAATTGGATGAGTTTCTCTAGGAGATCATGCAATTGGAATCACCTTATAAATTGGTACTCCTTCAATCTCAAAGGTGGTGGTTGTAAGCAACAATTGAAAAGAATGGCCCTCTTGATGACAATTTACATGATTTGGCAAGAGAGAAATATGAGAATATTTCAAAGGAAGTTTCGGGAACCAGAGATGCTCTTCAGGGGTATAAAGTTTCTGATATTCTCCAAGATATTGAATGTCAAATTACCTATACATATGAAAGATACTCTTGTGAATATGTAGTTAGTAATATTGAGAGATTGTGAAAATTACAGGGTAATCATAAGGAAATGTCTGGTGTTTTGATGTTCTTCATATGTACTTACTTAGGAGATGAATATAATTCTTTTTCATTGACCAAAAAGAAGAAGAAGAACTTACTATAAGAACTAGTTGTTAGAAAAAGGGATTCTAGTACCTTTTAAACGTGAGAAGTGCAAGCTACAGCCTCGAGTGCTCAGCACTCTACACTATAACAATACATGTGTCCCTACATGTCCTTATAGGAGGCACATGTCCCAGCCACAGTGTGAGTACAGACTTGGCTAGAATTGCTCTTTAAACCCACATCAAGCTCTCGATGTATCAGATGTGGGATTGGATGTATTTAACATATTCAAGTTGAGAATAAAATTAAAGTTTTCGATATTTGTGTTTTGTGATCTCTCTCTATCACTCCCCCACCCCCCTATGATAGCTAGTCAATCTAATTGAATTGACATGAAGCATATGTAGGCTCTATCTTCACCATGTGTTGTTGGTCAAATGAGAAAATTAAATCGGGTAAAGCCCACCCTACGAATATCTCATAACCACTAGTAGAGTAGAATGGGTGGTGAGGGGGCCGGATTCTTGGAGACCGTTGGGCAGCAATAAAAACCTTATGAAGGCCCATTTTTAGGTACACAAGTATGAATGCAGCAGATATAAACAATTATTATATGTTTCCTTCCCTTATCCTGGGCAGGTCGCAAGTCATTTAACTCTCGTTGCGTGAAAGCGGGATGGTAAACACAACCACAATTTTTCATCTTCTTTTTTCTTTGCATTGGGAAGAGGGTTCAAATGTGGCACTCATTGGATAGAAACTCAGGGCTTATGACTCCTTTATGCATTCACTTGTGGGGGAAAAGCAGTCAAAGCTTACCAGTGTTGCTTTCACTCGTGATATATGTTTTTTTCCACGTTGGAAAGTGTTGACAGGGACTTATACCAAAGAATGGGGTTGGAATTTCTTCATTTTGATTAAGGGTTGGTCGCAATTAGCGCTATAACTTAAATCTTTTTGGCAATTCCAAAGGATAGCACTTGGAGCTGCTAAAGCCACTACTATGAAGAATTACAGAAAAACAGCAAAGAAATCTGCCAGGCAGACTGGCGGTCGACCGCTGCGGTCGACCGCGAACGTGCACGAAGGGTACCAGGATTCGGAATTGCTGGCGGTCGACCGTCGCGATCGACCGCGGATGACTGTAAGTGTTTTTGCTCTCGGGACTGAGATTCGGTCGACCGTCGCGGTCGACCGTTGATGATCTGGGCTGGGCCTTTCGGTTTTTGACCCGTTTCGTTTCTGAGTTATATATAACTTAGAACCTGATTGTTTAGGGTTAAGGAAGGACGAATTTGAGCAGTCTTTGAGAGAGAATTGTTGCATCCAATTGTGGAAGAGTTGTGAGAGATCACCGAAGATGATTATGGTACGTTCGTTCTCACTATGATCAATGGAAGAACTACAGTCAGCTACAAGGAGGTGACCTCAGCTTTGGTGAACTATGAGTTGAGGAAGAATGATTGTGAACCCTCCGAGAAGGCATCGGAAGATGCATTAGCAGTTCGAGGCCGAGATCCAAACCGTCGCCAGTTCAACCGCTCAAAGTCAAAGAATAGTTGTTTTAGGGTTTGATCTGAGAGATTTGTAACTCTACTTGTATTCTCTGATTTCTAATAGTAAGAACTCACCCCTCCTTGCCCCGTGGACGTAGGTACCTTGCCGAACCACATAAAATTGTTTGTTCTTGTTGTGATTGTGTTTGCATATTAGTTGTGGTTAGTTCGAGTTATTGTTCGTGTTGCTCAGAAAGCTTCCGCCGCGCACAACAATTGGTATCAGAGCTAGATCTATAACATGGGAGATGTAAACACGTCAGGTTCGTCTCTTACAAAGGCGATACAGAGTCTGAGCATCAATAACACAAAGATTGATGTTCCGAAGTTCGACGGCAAGATCAATTTTGGATTGTGGAGGTGTCAGGTGATGGATGCCTTGGATGCACAGAATTTGGAGGAGACTTTTGAGTTAAAAGAGAAACCCGCAGAGTTGGAGGATAAGGTTTGGAGAAAGATGAACAGTAGAGCTTGTGGTGTTATTAGGTCATGCTTGATGTCAGATCTTATTTACGATGTTATGAACGAGACGTCGGTAAAGAAAATGTGGGAAACACTCAATGAGAAATATCTTACGAAGAGCATTGAGAATCGGCTTCACTTGAAGAAGAGATTTTATCAGTTCAAGATGAAGAGGAGAGTTTCCATCAGGGAGCATGTCAATAATTTCACTAAGCTACTTTCAGATATGGCCAATGTTGATATTATAGTTGAGGATGAAGACAAGGCGATGCTACTTCTGTGTTCGTTGCCCAAAGATGATTATGGTACGTTCGTTCTCACTATGATCAATGGAAGAACTACAGTCAGCTACAAGGAGGTGACCTCAGCTTTGGTGAACTATGAGTTGAGGAAGAGTGATGGTGAACCCTCCGAGAAGGCATCGGGAGATGCATTAGCAGTTCGAGGCCGAGATCCAAACCGTCGTCAGTTCAACCGCTCAAAGTCAAAGAATAGGAGTGCCTATAAGAGTGTTGGTAGAAATCAATGTCGGTATTGTAAAGAAGAAGGACATTGGAAGATTGACTGCCCAAAGTGGAAAGAAAAAGCCGGGAAGAATAAGGGGAAAGCTGCACAAGCTTCAGAAGTGAATGTTACAAAAGCTATTGGTGAGCATTCAGATTCAGATTCTTCAGGCTATTCATACCCTGCGTTACCGTCAGTTTGCTATGCGGATTCCATGGAGTGGATGATGGATTCAGGAGCTACATATCACATCTGCCCTAAGAGGGAGTGGTTTTCTAGCTTTAAGGAGCTGGAAAGAGGGGATGTCACATCTGCCCTAAGAGGGAGTGGTTTTCTAGCTTTAAGGAGCTGGAAAGAGGGGATGTCGTGCTTATGGGAAATGACCACGTATGTCCTATTGGTGGTATTGGTTCAGTCCGGATTAGGATGCATGATGGTGTAGTGAGGGAATTGAAGAAAGTGAGGTTCGTGCCACAGTTGACGAAGAATATCATTTCTCTTGGGACTTTGGAGGCAGCAGGATATCGAGTGATCTTAGAGGATGCTACAGTAAATGTCACGAAGGGTTCTATGGTGGTGATACGAGGTGTTAGGGAAAATAACCTATACTACTTGAAGGGCAAGATAGTTACAGGGGGTCTGGCAGCTTCTATTACTACAGAAGAGGACACTACCATCTTATGGCATATGAGACTTGAACAAACAGGTGATAAGTCCCTACAGTCATTGGCAAAACAGGGGTTATTAAAAGGTGCTAAGACCTGCAAGATGGAGCTATGTGAGCACTGTGTACTTGGGAAGAAGACTAGAGTGAAGTTTGGCACCGCTGTTCATAACACCCGAGGTACTTTGGATTACATTCACACAGATGTTTGGGGTCCTTCCAAGAACACATCTCTTGGGGGGAGCAACTATTTTGTCACTTTTATTAATGACTATTTCAGGAGGAATTGGGTATACCTGATGAAGAATAAACATCAGGTCCTGGATATTTTTGTAGAGTGGAAGAAGAAAGTGGAGCTGCAGACAGGTAGAAAGGTGAAGACTCTACGTTTAGATAACGGTGGAGAGTACAAGAGTGATCCGTTTCTGTAGTTTTGCCGGGATCACGGCATTAGAAGACACTTCACAGTTCGAGAGACACCGCAACAGAACGGGGTGGCTGAGAGATTGAACCGTACCTTGCTGGAGAAGGTGCGGTGTATGATGACACAGAGTGGATTGCATAGATCCTTTTAGACCGAGGCGGTAGTTTATGCGAGCCATCTCGTGAACAGGTTGCCGTGCACTGCGATAGACGGGAAGACTCCTTTGGAGCGTTGGTTTGGTTCGGAGGCTATTGACTATGAGTCGCTTCGGATATTCGGGTGTCCAGCTTATTATCATGTCAGTGATGGTAAATTAAATCCGAGAGCGAGGAAAGCAGTCTTTGTGGGATTTAGGGATGGAGTCAAAGGCTTCAAGTTATGGGATCCACAGGACAAGAAGATAGTTATTAGCAGAGATGTCACATTTGACGAGGCGTACATGATGAGGCCTCGAGCCCCTCAGCAGGTGGAGGGAGACCAGACAGGAGAGATATCGCAGCAGGTGGAGGATGATGTGACTCCACCCACTCCAGAGAGCACGGTATCTATTGAGGCTCCTACAGAGGTGACACTGGGAGGAGATGAGATGACAACCGGGCAGATACAGGATACAGTGGATCATGGGACTCATGAACAGGGGCATGTTCAGAGGTCCATTGCAGCAGATAGACCGAGGAGAGAGATTCGTCGGCCAGCTAGGTATAATGATGTCATGGTCGTATATGCATTATCAGTGGATGTAGTTGATGATATGGTTCCAGCCACATTCAGGGAGGGAGAGTCTAGCCCCGATTCGATCAGGTGGAGGGAAGCTATGGAGGAGGAGATGCGGTCTCTTCAGAAGAACGATACTTGGACACTTGCACATCTACCTAAGGGTAAGAAGGCTATAGGTTGCAAGTGGGTATATGCGAAGAAGGAGGGATCTTCTATTGGGGACATAAGGTTCAAAGCCAGATTGGTTGCCAAGGGATATGCACAGCTTGAGGGCATTGATTATAACGAGATATTTTCACCCGTTATGAAGCATTCGTCTATACGGATTTTATTGGCGTTGGTAGCACAGTTGGATTTGGATTTGGTCCAGATGGATGTGAAGACAACCTTTCTACATGGTGATTTAGATGAGGAGATCTACATGACACAACCCCAGGGTTTCAAAGCTGTAGGAAAGGAATATTTGGTTTGTAAGCTGAAGAAGTCTCTTTTTGGTATGAAGCGGTCACCAAGACAGGGGTATAAGAGATTCGACGGCTTTATGATTGGCCAAGGGTACACGATGAGCCTATATGACCCATGTGTTTA